TTATCTAGCAAATAACCAAATAATCGAATTCCTCGAATGCTGTCCGGATATCACCCTAAATGAAGAAGAGAGAGAGAGAGGTCAGCCATCAAGGAGATGGAAGGGTCAATTCCTCCAACATGAAAATCGTAACGGGTCAGAAAGCCTAAACCTTACAGCTATTGATGATTATGGTGATGAAAATGTGGGAAAGAAGATAGTAAAAAGTAAACGGAGAAAACAAAGGGGAATAAATAGAAAGGGCAGAAGACTTATTAAAATTTGAGCAAAATACAACACAGTACAACGAAATATAACACAACAGAAAAGAACGGAACAGAACAGAATATGAGGAAGGCAGGCTAAAAAATAAATGAAGGACCAAGGAAGAAAAAATAAAGAATCAAGGTCGAAAGGAAGGAAAAAAATAGTACCACATTGAAAGGAAAAAATAACAACACATAAGAAAATAAAATGGAAAACAGACAGACAAAGAGTAAAATAAGAGTATAAGCAAGGAAGAGAGAAGGAAGTAAAGGCGTGGAGAAAGAGAGGCAGTTCGTGAACGTAAATCGGATTCATCAGGTTTCTTCTGAGTATGAACCTGCGATCTGCGGAGATGTGGCCCTGGTTCCGCTGCCTCAGGATGGCGTCTGATGCGGACCTTTGTGAAGACGATGCGAGACCCGCTGAGAAACTATCAACTTTTCAAAGAACACTTTTGTCATAAATTTAGTGAACTTAGTTAATAGTTTATTTTTAAGCTTTTCATTTATATAACTCTCATTATAATTCGTACTCTTTACCAAACATTATTAGGGGGATGAAAGCAAGAAAGCTGCCACAACCTTTAGCCAGTCACAGCGGGGAAGCAGCATATTGCAGAAAACAAAACCAATAAAGAAATCCATGCGCCATGCCCTCAGAAGTAGGACAGTTGATGACATGAACACGGCCCTTCTTTTGTGCAATTCACTGGTTTTATACATCATTTCAGCTTTCTTCAGATGTACGTTAACCTTAATCGACAAGTATCGCACGTCACTATGACGTCATTTCCGGTGACGGTTTGCACGGTGCATGCGCAAAGAGCTGCCGTCAGGATGAAATGGAAACAGCGCGGGTTCGCAGTCAGTAGTACAGACGGTCGGATTTATGGTTTGACTCACCGCGGAAGTTCCGTAAATTGCAGTTAAAATTTGTTCCTGTTGTTGATTAATTAAACATCACGCCAAGAGTGAGAACAGGAACCTTGTTCACACACAATTTTCCGTCAATAATGCAACAATTTATTTCTTCATTCACATTTCCTTTCGCTATTAACACAACATGTTTCGGCCCCAAACGGCCATCCTCAGGTGTCCCATTATGTCAAACCTGCTGCACTGCACTGAGTACTGTCCATTCCACACGCGCGTAACTGAACACTTCGTAATTAAAATGTTACAACTGCACTCAACTGTTGTGCCTTAAAAGCTTACATGTTACAGTTCATTCCATTTAAAATCAGTTAAAAACCGTTAAAATTTGTAATTATGTAAAAGTAAAATATAAAAATCATAATTCCACATCATAAGGGGCGTCGTCCACTTGTCTAAGTAACATACCCTTCTTCGGTTGCTTACACTGCAGCGGCTCACTCTGTCCATATCGGTCCATATGCAGGCGCGTTATGTTTTGTCTGCAAGTTTGTCCCTTTCTTGTCCGTTGTTTCCACAGGCCGCATATGGCGCTGTCTTCGCGTGTGCAGACGTAAGCCCGTTGTTACCACAAGCCGCGTATGGCGCTGTCTTCGCGTGTGCGGACGTAAGCATGTTGTTTTGTTTTGTATGCAAATTTGTCCCTTTCTTGTCCGTTGTTTCCACAGGCCGCATATGGCGCTGTTTTCGCATGTGCAGACATTAACATCTGCTTCTAGTTTTTGGAGATGACTCCAAGACTAATAGGAAATTTGCGCATGTCTCATCCGGCAAACTTGTATTTTAATCCAAATTTGATTTTAAAACATGAAGATAAGATGCATTAAGCATCGTTATAAACCAAGGAGGGTTTCAGTAACTGCAAGACTCACAGACATAGCGACTGTTATCCTACTGACTTCTGGCTGAACGAAATGAAACGCAAATGAAGTAGTGAGAATCTGCAGTACCAATATTACGGATGTATTTCTTTTCATCAGATCACGAAACTATTTTCACTTTTATATTAAGGCGCGTAAGAATTCCTCCTTATGGAGGACAAGTAAATTACTTATCAGTTTAAATTACTGAAAATAATAGGTGTACCTTATGTCGTGGCAGAGTGGCTGGCAGTTCTCTTCCATATTCGGAACGTCCCTAGTTCGAATCTCGACCCGGAGACTTTCGCCACTTTCCATGCAAACTTCGGGACCAAGCCTTAATTTAGCCAAGATTCAGCCCTTTCCAGTTCATGCTTTATAAGATCATTCGGAAAGACAACCTATGCAGTTGAAAAGCGTTGCTATGCAGTTTAAGAATCAGTGATAACATGAGATATCATGTACCGGAGGGCAATAGTACCGATGAAATATTTAATCCTGCCCTTGAACTGTATCAAAGCATGACTTAACCGAGGGCTCTGGTACATAAAAGAGATCCTCCCCTTAGTTAAGTTCAGTTCTTTCAAACAAAAGGAAAACCAGTAGGGGTCTGCAATTCAAACATTAGTAAATCGGTTTCCTTAAGGGGATTTTTTCTTCCTTTGGGGCTACACCCCCAATTTGGGCCTTGGTCTATCTGGTCTATCTCCATGAAACTCTTCGTTTCACTTCGGTTTACTAGATCTTAGTCATTCGGTAGGACTAGTGGCCGCGCCATAGCTCAAGCGGTTAGTCGCTGGCTTCCCACCGCGGCGGCCTGGGTTAGATCCCGGGTCTGGTCAAGTGGGATTTGTAGTGGACAAAGTGGCGCTGGGGAGGGTTTTCTTCCGGTACTTCGGTTTCCCCTGCCAATCTTCATTCCACCAAATTCTCCATCATCATAATCACCCGGGGCAGGCTTCAATAGACCAATCAGTGGCCGCCGTGCCGAGTGGACTCAATTAGACTCCACCCCCACTGAGCGAATTAAAAAAAATCGGTAGGACTCCTTGGGCGGGTGATCAGTTCGTCGCAAGGCCTCTACCTGTACACAAACACAGAAAAACGCACATACACAAACACCTAACATTCATGCCCTGAGTGGGATTCGAACCCACGATCCCGGCTTCCGAGCGAGCGAAGTCAGCACATGCCTTAGACCGCTCAGCTACCGTGACCGAGCCCTTTAAATTTAAGTTCGTGACACGAGTATTATCTCACTAGTGGCAACGGCATGGATTTCAACACTGAATTCTCTAAGACGGACGGTTCGACGTCAGGAAACTGCAGTGGTGATGATGTTATTGAATCGTTCCCCTTAATTCTGTCAGGAACATGACTTTCAACTTTTGTCTTTGGCGTTCCAAAAGTCGCACTGACAACAGCATTGCGCGCTATGGTGGTCGCTCGAGCAGTCAGTCAGTCAGTCAGTCAGTCAGTGAGCAGATGGAAGTGTGAGTACCTGCTGGAGCCATTCTCCTGTGACGACACGGAGCTGGGTAACAGGCGTACCAAACGACGTAACTCCTGCAAAACTGCCTTATTCTGGAGATTTATGTTGCCTTATCTCCAAACTTTACATCCTTCATTTAATTTCACTAATTAAGGTTACTGTACTGTACTGTACTGTGTATTTGTTTCATTAAGAAACATATGGGGATAAAACTGGATTACAGACTGTGACAGGGCGAACATTAAACTCTGTACTTGGTTTCATGTTGTATCACAAGCTAACTGAAAATTTAATGTATCTGTTTTATTCATTCAAATGTTTATTCATCTGTACTTTTCTTACTTAACAGAAATATTTACATGAAACTTAATATGGAAATAAAAAAAGAAAACGAAAAATAATAAATATAATTACCTCATAAATGAAATTCTAGTTGGCCTCTATTCTGTCTACAGGAAAGAAGAAACAACTGAACGCCACGATTTTCATACCAACATTACAATCAGAAACATTTTCAGATTCACCTTCCACAAGAGCAAGTCTCATACGAACACGACGAAAACCAAACAAAAGACATACGAAAAGTTAAGAAAATTAACCAATACCCAACATAAAGTACTTTCTTCTTGTGAAACGCAAACTTCATATTGGTAATGTTAACAATGGTCTCCAGTTTCACTGTTTTGTCTCATCCTTACCTTTCAAGTGGGCTCATTACTTCTAACTTAAAAGGCAATATTTTCATCTTGATTTGCCAATTAAACTATGTGACCCACTGACAGGCGGCTGACTCGCTGGCTCCCCAACTAACAAATTCCTTGATACACTATCGTACCTGACTAGTTAGTAGTTTTCGGCTGTTGAAGAATTTCTCGGTTGCTATATTACACAAATATTTGTCAGTCATCACCAGGGCCCGGATTTTGATGACATATTATATTTTTTTCTTGTATCCTATGCGATGCTCTTAAATATATAAATCTTGGATATGAGCTGCTGGTTACAGAAATGTAAATTTTATAGGTAATTTTTTGTCATTTTTTTGACATTTTTAGGTTTAAGGTCATTTTTTCATTTTGAGGGTAATTTTTTGGACTTTTAAGGGTATTTCTTGTCATTTTTGGCCATTTTAGGGAATTTTTCTTCATATGGTTTCTCAAATGTGAATAACATGGAAGCGGAGTGTTCTTTCTCCTTCTGCTTTAGGTCATTTTTCTGGATTTTTTCTTTCATTTTTTAAATATTTTCAGGTCAACACAAAAGCCCGCCACTGGAATTCCGTAAACTTGTAGATCACATAAACGTGCCCCTAAGAAGAAAGAAGTAAGGAAGAAGGGAAAATAAAGAATAAGAAAATGCAAACAGAGGGATAGAGACATCAAACAGACTTCCTAAGTGCTCGATGCAGTGCTCATCAAATTTTGGTTTCGATTTCTTGCGTCAGGATGGATCAGTGACTAGTGTACGTACCTTGGTCTTCTCCCTGGAGCGGCTCCGCAGAAACCCCGGCATCTTGATACCGCCGATGGGTATCTTCTTCTTGCCGCTCTCCTTCTCCGATTCCTCAAGGGCCTTCTTCATTTTCTCCACCTCGCCTTCCCCTTCTCTGCGTACCGGCTTGATCACGACTTCTTGTTGCGGTGCCTCCTCCTCTTCCTGCACATCCTCCTGGCCGCCTGTCGCTGCTCTCTTGTTCTCCTCGTTCAACATCTTCTCTCTCTCCTCGTCCTCTATCTCCTTCTTGTCCTCGCTCTTCTCCTCGGCTGTGTTGCTCACTGTCGTGCTCATGGCTCAATGCACCTGGAACGGAACCAGCAGACATAGAGTTAACTCGTCTGCACGGAACCAACTGGGAACCACTGTCGTGCTCATGGCTCAATGCACCTGGAACGGAACCAGCAGACATAGAGTTAACTCGTCTGCACGGAACCAACTGGGAACCACTGTCGTGCTCATGGCTCAATGCACCTGGAACGGAACCAGCAGACATAGAGTTAACTCGTCTGCACGGAACCAACTGGGAACCACTGTCGTGCTCATGGCTCAATGCACCTGGAACGGAACCAGCAGACATAGAGTTAACTCGTCTGCACGGAACCAACTGGGAACCACTGTCGTGCTCATGGCTCAATGCACCTGGAACGGAACCAGCAGACATAGAGTTAACTCGTCTGCACGGAACCAACTGGGAACCACTGTCGTNACTACGGTTGCGGCTAAGGTGACGTCACTGGGTGCCACCAGTTTCAGATAATCATCTCTCGTTCACATCTCATGTTTCTCATTGTCTGTAGGTGGGTGCAAACCTCGTTTTCTCTTTGCGATTTATTTAGTGACGTTGCCGGTTATCTGAATAGGAAGGACGCCCTCGTGGTCTAATACGTCTGAGTATTGAAATATGGATCATTTGCCTTCAGTTCACTTATAAACAGCACGAAAGTACTTGGTAAAGGCCCGCCATAATATAAGAAAGTATATTTTTGTAGTGGTTACGGCTGGGCGACACATCGTAGCCAAGATCGACTGCCCCAATAATTGTGTCTTAATAATGGATTGATTTTATCCGAAACCAGTTCTTATTATGTGAGATTTGAGGTTTTCACGGTGGTGACTATGAAGAACGCCGTCTTCTGTGATGTGGCGCAGTGTAGATATTGTGTTAACCGACGTTTCGGAAGAACGTATCGCCTCCATTTTCCCCTCTCCTCTCTACTGATTTCCCATGTAGCCCCCTCTCCCTTCTCTTCCTGCTCTCATATAGCTGGGTTTATTAGACTCGACATTAGTCTGCCAGCACCTACTCACGTTGGTTCCTCGCTCGCGGATTTTCTTTTTTCTTCTACCCTGAAGATGGAGACGATACGTTCCTCTGAAACATCGGTTAACACTATATCTACACGGCGCCACATCCCAGAAGACGGCTTTCTTCATCAGTTTCTATTAATTTATCTATCATGCAGGTAGGTGTCTCTACTGGATTAAAATGAACGTCATCAAACCATTAACATTACCCTCGCCTCTCCAGGGTAGTACGTAACCTTAAGTAGTCCTGAAACGGCTTTTGGTGCGTCACTGAACATCCTCTACAGAGTGGCCGTGTCTGGGTTCAATTTCCGAGACTCGGAGATGACGGGAAGCTTCTCCTGCCGCCAGTACAACACAAGTGGAGGTCCTCATAACTTCATGGAGAGACAAAAATCACGTTTTATATTGTTACGTGTAACACTACAGACGGAGTTCGGATTGGTAATTGGGTTTATTGAGGGCACGTGGTAGCGTAGTTGGTTGAGGCACTATGCTACAAGCCGGAAAGTCGAAGGATCGAATCCCAATGAGCTGGATTTTTTACAGTTTACCTAATCCTCCCAGCCGCACTATGGCCCTGGGGTCCAGTCAGCCTCTAACATAAATGAGTACTAAGAATATTCTTGCAGGTAAAGGGCGGCCGGCGCGTAAGGCTGACAACCTTACCGCCATCTATGAGCCTATTGTCTAGAAAATCTTGGAACCCCAACATCTCAAAACCCTATGGACCTTTACGGCCTGTTGCAGGGATACCTTTAATTTACTCTTTACAACTGGATTTATTGACCACTTACAAATATAAACTATAAGTAACTGTAGCACTATCACTAGTTCACACTCTGCAAATCACTAA